GGCTCGGCCGGACCCCTCCGCGGGAGCCCGCGTGGCGGTGCGGTTCTCGCCGGAGCCCGGGCCCGGGGAAGCAAAACGAAAGGATAGAGGCCTTCTTTTCCTGCAACCCGCCCCCCAGCAGACGCCGGCTCTGCGGGACCCGCGGTTCCCTCGCTCAAGATAGCCAGGCCTGCAGAGCTGTAGGATGCACGCAGAGTGGGACACCCCTCACCCCTGACGCACCCCGCTCGCACCCTTGGGCATCCCCAAGGCCGAGCGCGCAGCCCGCCCGGGAGGCCCTGCGGAGGGGGGAGCTGCCGGGCCGAGCCTGCGCCGCGCTTCCGCACTCGCGCCCTCGGGCGGGGCGCCCCCGCCTCTTCCTCCGGTCAGCTCCCCCGACCCCGACCCCGACCGGGCTCCCCCGCACCCCCTGTACTGCCTAGCCCAGCGGTTCACGGCGGGGCCCGCGACGGTTTCTGATCCAAACCACCACCTGAGCCCAGCCCCAGCTGGTTCCCGGAGCCCCGTCCCTCGTTAGAAACTGCGCGGAGGTGCTCATCGGAGTTAGAGGATTTGGGGACTAAGAGAGAAGTCGGGGACCTCCCGGAGTACTGCATTCTTCCTTTCCCCTGGGACCCCAACAGCCCCGTCGACACTGAACACAGGTGCCTGCCGGGCCCGCGCCGTCGAGCGGGGAACCCCGCGTCCGCCCGGCGCGGAGCCCCGCCAGTGTCCAGTGGTGCGGCGCCGGCCAAGCACCTAGGCTCCCGTCTGGCGGAGCTGGGGCGCAGCGGCGTCTGGACCTGCACCTGACCGGTGCGTGGGCCCAGTCCTCCCAGGTCCTGCACCCGAGGCGGGCGGGGTGGGCCCCGGGGGTCGTTTCCTATGTGACACTTGCCATTTTTGCCTCCTGTATCCTGTACTAATAAAAAGATGGGAAAGGGACAGTACCTACCTTCCCTGAGACGAGTCCAACAACACCAAGATTTTAAAGAGTTGGGGGCTGGGGTAGTGTTGAGAGGGAGTGGCTGACAGACGTCTATGTCAGGGAGCTTAGAGTTTTCTATCTGGTGATGCGGGGTCTGGGTACAATTTTTAAGGAAAACTCACTTCCTTAAAATTATCCATATCACACACACACACACCAAGCAGCAATAATTCTTTTTTTTTTTTTTTAATACATGTCCTAGTACCTATTTCAGGCTTCTACGTTAAAAGAATCCATTTTTAGTATCAATCACTTTGTGCTCTATGGTGCCTTTGGAAGCGAAATTATTCATGTATGGAATCCCCCTAATCATGGTTTATTTTGAGAGTGGAAAAGATGAGCTCAGTCTCTGCATCCATTGAATTACTGGAAAAGAAATTCATTTACAGGTATAGCCTTAGAAATTTGGGCCAGTTCAATCACTGTCCTCTTAACATTTTACTGACCTCAACACTGAAACGTAAACACTTTAGAGTTTAAAATGTGAAGAATTGTCTTTAAAAGGCTTGAAAAGCAAAGAATAGGAAATAAGACAAATACAGCCCAAGCATAGAAATGTTAATCTTCCCCTCCTGGAAAGGAGTGTTGAGTCTCCTCTGCACTGCTGACAAACCTGATGACACAAATGGATGGTCTGCTGAGACCCAAATGCAAAATCCTGATGTTTTTCCCTGAAAGAGAGCCAAAGCAACATTTAGGAGTCATATGTTTGCTTTCATCATTGTAGATAACATTTTGAGTCCACTAATTTGGTTATGAGATATGTAGTGTTTTTATTTTTAATTCAAGTATGCAAATATGGAGTTGTTTCATTGATCTTAGATTTGTTTTTGGCAAGGTGATTATTGTATTCTATAACTTAATAATTACATGCAATTGCCAAATGAATGCCTATTTAAATGCTAATAGTACGTTTTAATTCTTTGGGGGAGGAGGGAAGGAGCTTTCATATCTAAATAAAAGCCAACTAATTTTTATCAAAAACAAGAAGCCTTTCATTATTTAAGTGATTTAGATATTTTCATTTCTTCACCTAGGTTACCCTAAGTCCCTTGTCTTTGCTTCCAAAGCACTTGTATGGCTTAGAGCCATTATAGTTCTTAAAACATGGGCAGGCTGCAGTATATACTTGATGAATGAACTAATACTTTGTTTACATGTCTTTCTCCCACTAGATCTCATGTGCTAGAAGACAGACACATTCTGTTAGTAGCAAAATGTCTGGCATACTTTGATACTTAATATGTGTTTGGCTTGATAGAAGAATATGTATACACTTGATTCACCTCAACAATTTTTAAAATGTGGATGTTAATATCTAATCAGCATATATAAACCTTAACTTTTAAAATTCAGCGAGGAGCTGAAGAAAAAAAAATATATGTGTGGTAAAATTAGCAACATTTCTTTCAGGCATGTGTAAAATATATTCCCATGATAATGAGATTTTTCTGAATTCCCAAACCAGATTTTAGAGAAGCAGAACAGGATATCTAAACTGACTTTATAATGTTGTCTTTTTAAGTCTAATTTGCATAAGTAAAAAAATTAAATGCAAAAGTGATTTTGAAGTTACACATGATTAGCTTTTTACAAAAGGAGCCAAAGATTTCCAAACAAATCTTTCATAGAAACACTTTTCAATTTGTTCAGATAATGTGTTTTATCCTCAATCAAATGTATAGTTTAATAGATTAAGTACATTGTATATCTGTATTTAAATTCAGCTGGTACTTTAAGAACAGTAATCTTAAATAGCACTTAAGCCCTGAAATATCCCTTTGAACAGTTTTCTTTCTCACTACTTAAATGCTACAGGTGTGTATGTGATATTGGGGCATTCAATTAGCTTTGTAAAACAGAATGGTATTTTATTTTGAAGTTACTAAGTTGAAAAGTGGATCAGAAAATGTAGATTGGCTTTCTTGTCAGTAAATCTGCCATATTTTACACTTGAATTGTTGATAATTCATTTCTATATATATTATAATCATTCTGTAGCATTTCTCTTTAATGGTAAAGCCTTTTTCCCCAAAAAAAAAAAAAAAAGCTAGAAGAAAAAGCAAAGATCTAGATTCTTTAATGTGTCCAATTTCAGATATAAAGTGGGAATCCTATACTATGTTTTATCAGGAACAATATAATTTAACCACAGATATTGTTAATGACAGATATTCAGAACCTCTAGTTAAAAATAGTTTATATACTATCTGAACTTAAGTTTTTAAACTTTGTAGCATTCCATAAGTAGACTTGTATACGTATATTTATAGGCTTAGGCATCTTTTTCAGTATTGAGTTCCTATCTCAACACTTTTAAAGTAGAAAATCATAGTAAAACAATTACTAAAAATGGCAGCTGTGGTAGCTTAGGAGTTTGAATTGTTTAAGGACTGAAACCAAATATGGAACCTCTTAGTTTTAAGGGGGATTTTTTTTTCATAATGCAACAAGGAACCGAAAACAAAATTACAATGAAGGTTTTATTTGCCATTTTAATTATTTGCTCAATCTGTTTTCCCCCACATGGGAACATACAAAAACTTTAATTTTAAAAGACCTGAGAGAAATGTGGGGAGATCATCGTGAAACTTACGACTTTGGAGTTAGGTAAAGGGATTGTGAGTAGTCCTGGCTTCTGAACTGCGGAGCGAAAGGCATGCACCTGCTCCTGTAGCAGGGACCTGACTGATTAAACTTACTCATCTCTCTTATTGGTGGTCTATTCCCCAAGTATCTGGGGCTCTATAAAATACCAGGATTTCACCGGAGAGCTCAAGTCAGAGTGAGAGCTTAAAGATTATTATATAGGACTCCCCTCAAATATGAGAACCAGCTAAGTTTTCAATACTCCCTTCTATTGAAGAAGAGATATCAAGAAGTTTCCTGTCTTGGCACTTCTTAGCAGCAGCTGTGGCTATCTACTCACTTGACACCTGGTGAAATTGTAGTTTCTGATGGAGAAACACTTAAAGTTGACACCTGTCCTTGAAACATCCCCTATACAGTTTTCAGGCAAGCTAGAAACCAGTGATAGGCTACTCAATCTCTGTTAAAAGAAACTGGGTAAAAAAAAAAAAATTTTTTTTTTTACACTTATACAACCTAGGGAAGTCTAGTTAAGATCATGTGAATCAAGACTTTCCAGGTAAAAAATTTTCTCTCCCTTTCTTTTGGAAATGTCATTTAGCAACAAAATGAAGCCTCAGTTTAAAAGACAAACGTCTAAAAACCACAAAAGGGAGGAAACAGCAAAGTTGGTAGGAAGGAGAAAGTCACGGAAGACAGGATATTTATCAATCGTATGTTCCCCGTCTACTTGTCTCATCGAATCTCTAGAAGTGCTTGTTAAATACTTCTAAGGCAGTAGTTATGGACATGGTCGTCCTGACCCTCCAGGAATCCTGAAGCCAGAAACGCCAGGCACATGAGAGCTGCACCCAAGGGGGAAACCATCCAGCGGGCGTTGGGGTTGCGCTGACAGTGGCATAAGGCTGACACGGCGTCCGAGGTGGGGTGTCTCTCGGCCGTCCAAGGGAAGGACGGCGGCGCCGACGGAGCTCACTTAGCCTCGCCGCGCTCCGGCCGGCGCTCTGGGGGTGCCCCCTCGCCGGGACCCAGTCCGCGGCACATCGGGAAAGCTGGCGGCTGTGGGTTCGGCCGGCGGAGAACCCCGGGCTCCCGGCGGACGCCTGCCCGGGGCGAGACCGGGGCACCGACGGCGGCGGCGGCGCGAGCGGGGCGCGAGCGGGGCGCGCCCAGGGGGCCCCTGCAGGCGAAGCTCCCCCGGGGGCTGCCCGCCGGCGCCCCGCGCCCAGAGCCGCTGCCCTGACGTCACGCCCGGCCCGGGCGGTCGCCGCGAGACGGTCGCGTTCCGGTTCCGGTCGGTTGCCCGGGCGACGCGGGTACACAGAAACGGCTCCCGTCGGAGGCGGCGGCGTCGCCGCGGTCGCCCCCTGGGCTTTCCCGCAGGTCGGGCGCGCACGGGCCGCCTCGCAGCCGAGCCGGTGGCGGGCTGAGGGCCGCGGGCGCCATGAGTCAGAGGCAGGTGTTGCAAGGTAGGGCCCCGGGGGGCAGGCGCAGGGCGGGTGGCGCCCCGACGGCGGGCGGCCTGCTCCACCGCGTCTGTCCCCGGCAGTGTTCGAGCAGTACCAGAAGGCCCGGACCCAGTTCGTGCAGATGGTGGCGGAGCTGGCGACCAGACCCCAAAACATCGAGACGCTGCAGAACGCGGGTGAGCCCGCGACCCCCGGGCCCGCGTCTCTAGGTGCCCCCGCCCGCCGCGCCCTGCAGCCCCGGGTACTCAGCCCTCGGGCCCCTCCCCGCCCCCTGCCTCCCCCCTCCCCCCGGCCTTCCCCCCCCCACCCCCTCCGCTCCCCGTCGCCCCGCTCCCCTGCCCGCTGAGCTTCGGAGAGGCGCTGGGGGCGGCGGGAGGACGGTGTCCCTGAGCTCCTCCAGCACACCGCTGAGACCCTAGAGCATCCGTCCTCTTTAGCGGGTCTTCTTGGGGTGTGAGGCCGAGAGGGTGAAGCGTCCAGATGGGCGTGAGAGGGGCCCGACGTCCCTGTTTCCATCTTTTCGCAACCGGGCCAGTGTCAAGTTGAAAGTCAAGGCCAGAAGAATGGCCTGGAAGTCATTTTACGCAAATGGAAATCTACCTCAATCAGACCCATTTTATCCGGGTGCCGTGGCTCGTCACCCTGCCTTTGATCACCTTGGACTTCCTCACACCAAAGGAATTCCAGAGCGGTTGACACATTACTTCTCGCCTTGCATTAGTGAAAGAGCGAAGATTTGCTTGAGTAATTTCTAAGACTTTCAAAGTAGGTGAAGTGCTAGCTTTGAGAAGTCCTTCTGGTGCTGTCGTTCCACCCCCCTCAGTCCGAACCCTTGCATACTCTAGAAAGAGCAAGAGAGACCGGGTGTGATCTGCTTCCGATCAATTAACATAAATAGATGGGGAAGATCCTGGTGGATTAGGGATGATTCCACTGCCGTCTAAACTCAAAGTAAGGTAGCATTTTAGCACTACTGTATCATAAATGTTCAATTTGTAGTTTGTGATCTTTAAAACTCATTCAAATTAACACGGAGTTAAAAGATATTTTAAGGACATATTGACAGGGCAAGAATGCTTAGAAATAATGTTTGTTCTGGCTTCTCTGGGGGGGGGGGGACTTACGATTGCACCTAAATGGCAATTTTTTTCTGTCACTGAGAAGGATTTTGGTGTTTATTCCTTGTATGCTTTTATTTGAGGGTGGGGTTGTGTTTAGAATAGAGAAAGTATATTTGATTATCATGTTTTAAAACTTTTTATTTTGAGATAATCGTAGAGTTACATGAATTGTAAGAAATAATACAGAGATCCCCTGTACCTCAAGGCTGTGGCATGATGTCACAACCAGTATGTTGACACTGATAGGAATCCATCCACTGTATTCAGGTTTTATCAGTTTTGCTTGTATTTATTTGTGTGTTTCTGTGTATGTGTATGTTTAGTTCTGTACAGTTTTATCCTGTGTGTATCCATCATCACTGTAGTCAAGATACACAACACTTCCATTACTGCAAGGATCACTTTTATTGTTCTTTTATAACCACACCTACATTCTTCTTGTCCCTAACCCTGAAAAACCACTAATCTGTTCTCCTTTCAAAAATTTCAGAGTTGATCATCTTTTGTTCTGCAGTTGTTTCATGTGGATTAATTTTCTTTCTTCTGCATGTGTGTGTGTACTTATGTGCTTGTATGTATATTCCCCAAAGTACCCAGAACAGTGTTGGGCACAGTGTTTCATATATACTGGCAAATACAAGTTTATTAGAGCATATTACATTATTTTTAATGCACTTAATTTTTAGTCCCCTCCCCCTCAGTCCTACTCAATGGCTTTTGTGAATGGACACCTATCTGTTTACAGATATTTAATTTATGAACTATAAGTAAACAGTTAAACTAAAACATTTTTTTAAAAGGGAAAATGATTGACATTATTTTAAAATTTTGATACTGTAACACAGGAGTTTAAGTAACAAGATACAGAATATCAGATTTTAGTATAATAGTGGCAGGTTATCTTTTCCTGTAAGTGTACGATGTAGAACGTGTTATGGAATTTAATCAATCCATCCAGACCATTAGGCTAAGTGATCACCAAAGTATGGGACCTACATATGACATCTGAAGTAGCCGCCCATTTCCACTTATGGTCTGGCTTATGAAGGAAGGGAATACAAAAGGAATATAACAATATTTTGAAGCTGTCTGCGCTTGACCAATGTTGTTGATGGAATGCTAAGATTTTTCTTTTCTTGAGCTTACTTTCACATATTTCATGTCATCTAGATTCAATTTAAGCTCTCCTTTAATAATTTTAAATAGATATAGCTAATGAATATTTCAATATATTTATTCTTTTAATTAAAATAATCTGTAAATTTTGTTATGAGAACATAATAGTCTATAAACCATTCAAATGGATTGTTCTTTAATAATAATCAACATGGATTTTAAAATACTTTTTAATGAGCCACAATAGCTATGCATCACATATATTATGATCAAGTTTTTCTTTCAATCGAGTGACTTCATTTTGATAGCATAAAGTACCAGTGCATCTTATTCCTGACTTTGTCGTATTCTCTGCACACTTGGGAAGGTTTGGTTTTGCTTTCTCACTTTTCTCACCTAATGAACTGCTTAAATAAATATGTACCATGGATCCAAGATAAGGTAGAAAACATTTTCCTTATAGGCAGCATGATAAATCAGTAGTTCACTTGTTAAGAATTTTTTAATTCATTCACTCTGAAAGGAACCTAAAAGTGAACATTATCAATGGAGTTTTATTTCATTTTAAATCTGTGATCTTTTTCATTATATTTTCGATGTGTTAACAAGAATACTTGCTTTATCAAATATGTCCAAAGTAATTACTAAAGCAAACAAAGTGTTGCAAGATATCTTCTTTAGAGTATTTGGACAAAAAATAAGTTTGATTTCTAACCAGAATTGTTACTAGAAAGAATGGTGTACAATGTGTTTATTCTAGAGGAATTTTTTTTTTACTGAGATTTTTATTCCTTCTAAATCAAATACGTATAGGAAAACATTTAAAACTTTAATGTTTGTTATAAAATCTCTTTATGCACCCTCCAACCCTGTGCCTTTGCACCATTACATCTTGCAGCTATTTAAAAATGAATTTTGATACTTCCCTCTTTGAATAATTAGTAACACATGTAACACATTGTAAATAGTAGAGACAATACATTGTTACTTCTACCAATTGTAGAATTTCAGCAAATGGAGGTGATCGTTTAGTTATAAAATATAAATAATATATTTTGTGGCATATTGGACTATCAGGCTCTCTTAGGTTGCTTAGAAAGTCTTTTATAATAAGCTAATATAAAAACTCCAAGAAAATTATTTTTAAACTGCTTAGCTACATAAAATAAACTTTCTGAAGCAGTTACTTATGTAAGAAAAATGGGAGTAAAGTTTAAAGTAATATTTTGTAATATTTAACATATAATGTATAGCAAAACAATAAATATGGCTAATCACTAGTTATGTACATTTTCAGAAGAGTAGCAATAGAGAAGATTACATAACACTTTAAATATGCATCTTTATGAAGCTAATTTGCAAATCTAGGCAATTTAATGAGTTTACAATTCAAGAAAATAATATTTGTTGACACAAAATGATCTGAAGTTACACGTGTCTGGGTTAGGGTGAAAATGTTCAGATTAATGATTTAGCACCTCAATTTTCTGAGAAGGGAAAGCCTGTGGTAAGCATTTATGTTTAAAACATAGCCTGGTAGGTACAAGTAGCATGATTCTCTTACAAAAACCACTAATCCAAAGGATATTGAAACTGAAAAGATAATGAGTAAAGCAACTTCAATAAAACTTAATCAATCATGCTATTTAAATTTCATGAATAAAAATAAATAAATACATTTCATGAATATAAAAGGAGTCTTAGAGTTGTGAATGCATGATAATTAAGCACTCATCTTAAAAGATAGGGATAGTGATTTTGTGTTTTGTTTGTTTTACATATGCTTAAGTGAAGGAACTATAAAAATTCTGAACTTGTATGCACCCAATAATACATCCTAAAAATAAGATCATTCAAAATTGTATTCTATGTTTCAAACCCTTATTCCTACTTGGACATTTATCTATTTTGTTATTTAAGCTTTGGTACAGAAGTAGAAAGTAATGTAGCCAGGGTTAGGGTATCCTTGTTTTCTGAGGAAAAACTGGATGATTAAAAAAAAAAAAATTAGGCTATGGATGAACCTATTAGAGTAGGGCTTAGAAATGGCAAGTTTGTGTGGTTATATTTTAATGTGACAATTTAATGTTTTTGAAAAGTTACTTAAGTATTTCCTAATTCTACCTTTCAATGTTTTTTCATGGCTTTTGCTCCTCTGACTAGAACCTTTTCCTGTACTTCTTTGCCTAATTAATTTCTACTCATTCTTTATGGCTCTGTTTGGATGTTGATTCCTCAGGGAAACTTTCCTTAAGCCCTCACAGTAAGTTAAGGCTCTTGATTTATGCTTTTCTTGCTCCTAATATTTCTCTTTCATGATACTCATTACGATTGCAATGATTTAGTTTCTGTTTTCTCCACAAACTGTAAATTCCATGCCCAGCATAATGCTTAGCATAGGGCAGATGTTCAACATGTTGAAATAGAATGAAAGGAGTAATTATTTTTCTTTTTAAAAAAATTTAATTTTTTAAAGTAGTCTATCCCCAACATAGGGCTTAAACTCACAACACTGAGATCAAGAGTCACATGCTCTACCCACTGAGCCAGCCAGGTGACCCAGGAGTAATTTTCTTCTGAGTGTTTTCACATCTCTTAAAAAATTAGATTCTTATAACAGCTCAGGTAGGTAGTATAGGTATCTTCTTCAGTGTGGATACTAAAGCTGCAAAAAGGTTAGATAATTACCCTCATTATAAAGAGAGTCCCAGTCAAACTAAGACTAGAAGATGTTTAATTGCTGCCTGACATTGCACTCTATGCTACCTTGTAGGTGTTAGTAAGCTATTTCTAGGTCGTTCTAGGAGTTCCTAATAAATCTTAATGTTAACTGTTAAACCAGGTCATTTCTTTAGGCCTTTGGGTGCCAAAGGCTATCCAGTAATTGTGTGCAATTGGCTTTTGAGGTCTCCTTGAGGATCATTATGGGAGCTTGAGTG